TGAAGATGATGTAGTTTAAAGCAGGATTAACTATGAATTCAGAAACCTTCTCTTCTTGTTAACTAAGTCAAACAGATACGGAACCATGTATTCCACAGAATACATACAAATAGACAAAATCTAATTTACAAATACAAGTGTATAATTAATGTCATACTAATTAGTTCAAAACTTCCTTTTGAAAACAATCATAGTACGTTTCACTGTGTATTAAAGTAACTTCTATATAACACCAAAAAAAATTAAACACTGTATTTTCAAAATGGTCATACTCCTCTTGTTCAAGATCTGTTTTCAGAGTCAAAAGCTGGTTTAAATAATCTTGTTCCTTTTCAGCTGTACTTTCAAATCATGGATTTCTTTCTGCAAAAGGAAAAGGAAAAGTTTTGAGTATACATGTGTAAACTACAATTCATGGAGGTTATCAGACATGAGCTAACAGCACAAGGCTTTCAGAAGAACCAAACAACATCCATGTCATGGATTATCCAGACTGTATCTTCACATATCTCTGGTGGGATATGGAAGTGGTGTGAGAGAGTGAACTCTGACACCAGTGCTGTAAATGTCCCCTGCTGTAATTAGTTTAATTACCTAGTCTGCAAAACTACTAAAATTAGATTCCTTGGACATAATTGTAAATAAAGACATTTACTTCAGACTTCATAAGCTTTTACATGCATCTAAGTAAAAATCAGAGAATTCCAGTTCTATAAGATAGAACAGAAAGGCAATCAGCAGGGCTGTGTCTTCATCCTTAGTACAGCCACTCTAAGAGTGTAAGAGGCTACAGGAGGACAGAGGATCTCCTGCTGTCACTGTTATGAGCAGAGCAGTTCAGCGTGGGACATTGCTCTGTGTGCTATTTCTTATGTACTAGTGTACACGTTATGATGTGTTACTTCACTATTTATAAAAGCAAGAGCATTTTCATTTCTCTCTCCAAATTTTTCTCTCTGCAAATTTTCTACAGTAGCCTCAAGATCCTTCTTCAGTACAAGTCCTCCAACCTGCCCATTTTAGAAAATTAGTGAAACTTAGACCACTCAATGCACAGATTATAACAATAAGCAGACATGGTAAAATGTACACCTGATTTCACACTAACTTGACTTGATATGGTTTCTTGTTAGACTTGTTAATATAAAATCATAATGAAAATAAACCTCTATTAAGAGTGTACTTCATATAGCTTAAGACTTCTGTGACAGAAAATGGGCCTATGTCACAGTACAGTAGGGTTCAAAGAGGCCAGAGCCAATTACCTTCCTATAAGTAAGCAAAAAATTGGGAAACTTTATATCCAGAGGGAGTGGCATTTGAATGAGCATGAACAAAGAAGGAAATAACCAAAAACCTTGACAATGAAAACCAAAACATGGGAGACAAGAAAAACCAAAACACAAGAGACGAGAAAAACAGTGGCAATAAAGTTCTTCAAAGAAAACACTGAAATTGTGTGTGAGAAAGTTTAGTAGAAATGTTAAAGTTGACTAGATGGTGTTCATTTATGGCATTTAAGATACTTACAAAGCAAGAGGAATTTCAATTAAGAGCAAATGCTATAAGATTAATAAAATGAACATTTACCAGAGTTTCTGACAGCTCTTCAAGTTGCACTTCTTTGTCACATTTTACTTTAGTCATCTCCTCTACAACACATGTAATGTAAATTTAATGGAACAGAAATAATTTTTCATATTTGGCAGGCAAAATTAAACCCTTTTCCAATACCCAGTTCTGAAAACTTTCTGGATTAAGTTCAGAAGCTGTAAAGCTAATATATGACTTAATCTAAATGTAGACTTGAAAAAATGATTAAGAAAGACATTAGCAAATCTGTATCTGAAGAGATAAAATTCAGAGCCGATTATGTTTTTCACAGTTATGGCTTCAAACAAACCATGGACTGTAAGACCAGAGTATTCTCCAAGTATTGATGCATCTGCATTGTTCCAGAAAAAAAATCTGAACTGCTAAAGGTGTCACACGGATATGCTGAAAAAGGAAACCAGTTGTTACTAACTTCCAAATGTTTTCTATGTGCAAATTCACAATACTGGTATTTTTTGCAAGTACTCAACACCAAGGTCACATTTGGTGTGGAATTCTCACAGGTCTCATCTTGCCTCGATCTAAACAAGTATTAGCAGTTCACTTTTGAACACTTCTCTATAGATGCCCTCAGTGTAGATAAAAACATCCAACCACATTTCTCATCTGTCAGATGAAACCCAGGGCCATGTGCTGCACAGCAGGAAAACAGTCCTGAAGGCAGATCTCTTACTCTGGGGGCTAGGGAGCACATCCCTAGAAACCACATGATATCAAAGCAGTATTTAAAGATAACCCCTGCCAGCACCACTGCACATCCAGCCAAGTACAGAAACGTTAATGGGAGGGTTTTATCTCTGCTACAAGCCACAGAAGTCACTCCTGGCACCTGCAGTGCTACTAGTCTTAGCTGGAAACCAAAATTACTTCCATGAGAATTCATGCATGGATGGTCTTACTATTGGGGTTCTGCACAGCACTGCCCTTTGGCTGTTCCAGTACCAATGACCACCAAAGAAAATGGAGTCAGATGAGTAAAAAGAAATTTAGGCATTCCTGACAGGTACAGGTACTGTAAAATCATTTCTCCAAGTACTAGAAACAGTCCATTTCCAGAAAACATTTTTATTACTGCCTAGCTCATTTTCTGCCTTTCTACAAGCCTTACCCAGCTCAGCAGACTTATTTTGGAGCTCCAAGGTAAGCAGCTTTGACTTGTCTTCATATTCCTTTAATCTAAGAAAACAGTAATTTAAATTTAAAAATCTAAATTTAAAAATGTATAGTACAAAACACTGCATTTGAAACTTAAAGGACAATAAGACAGTCTTACCACAAGCACTTTAATAACATTTCCCTTTCAACAGGCAGATGATATATCTGCCTGCAACACATATCAAATTTTTCCCTTTTACAATTTCAGAACAGTAGACATTAAAAGTAAACAAATATATACATACAGAAATCTGTATTTCTTAAAGACAGAATTATGAAAGTCAGAGGGGCAAAAATTTACTTTTGATAGACCAGTATCAACCATCACAAATAAAAAAAAAAAACTACATTAAATTCTCTGATTTAGACCACTGTGTCAAAAAAACCTCCAAGTCTCAGCTTCATTTTTAACTGCTCTTTGTCATAGACTGCAACCTGTAAGATGACTCTCCAAATTTAAACTCTTTAATTTACCTATTTTGCTCCTTTTGCAGTAAGCTTTTCAAATTGGCAGTAGAAGTCTCAGCAGTAAGCTTTTCAAATTGGCAGTAGAAGTCTCAAACTCCTCTGTCAGGGCTGCAAGCAAAGCTTCCATTTTTTTACATTCTTCCTCCTGTGCTTCCTTTTCTCCAGTGACCTGAATTAATGTTTTCACTGTAGTCTGGCATTCTGTTTCTAAGTTCTTTTGAGTAACCTTCACATTCTGTTTCTAAGTTCTTTTGAGTAACCTTCAAAACATGATATAATCTCTAAACATGTTTTGCAACAAACAGCTACAGCTGTTTCATATCTAAAGTATCCATAATTATTTATGCAAATGCTCATCTAGTCTGTTTACACTGTAAAACTATAGGCAAGGTGTACCTCTGCTTTTTGCAGTGAAATTTTAGCCTCTTCCAGCTCTGCCCTCAAATGTTCTTGACTGGCCTGGGATTCCTTTAACATTTCTTCTTCACGTACTAAGCAAAAATGATGTATGTTTATACTTTTAAAAACAGGATACTTACTAAAAAATGCTGCTAAAAATGGAAAAGTACATACATTTATAGAATTTAACAAAGACCAATGGTATTGACATCATATACTAGAAATACTTTGAATATAGATGGCTTAAAAATATTGAAAATCAAGTTCTGAAAAGTAAGTTTCCTCAGTGGCATCTACCTGACTATGAATCTGCAAAAGTGAAGCAACATATTTTCCCCCTGCAATTTTCAAAAGCTCTCACAGCTTGACTTGCCTAAAAACTACCCTGCCATTCCTGAATCCACATGAGCAGCTTCTGCTCCAAACAAAAACAAGGCCTTCAAGGACCCAAAATTCTGCTGCTGACCAGCAACAGAATAAAACTATCATGACCCTGCTTCCTATGCTTCTATAACAATTACATTTAAACACAGCAGACAGAACTCTTACATTTTGCTTCTATTAAGTCAGCAATCTTATTTTGTGACGCCTTCAGCTGAGCCTTGATGTCTTCTATTACACCATCTTTTTCATCTCTCTGTATGGTAATAGCTGAAATCTAAAAAAATTAAGGAAATATCATAATGAAATCTGGAGAAGGGACAGATACTCATTTTCATTTGTACCCCAGGTATGATAAGCAGACATACTGCTGTCATTCAAGTTAGATAAGACTGTTGATCTTAGTCAAATATTGATCAAGTCACATTATTAGTCTAAACAAAAAGATTTTCCAGATCAAAATCAAATCATGAATTCCAGTAGATTAAAGGTACTGAAACATCACTAAACTTAGCAAAATCCGAATTAAATGCAGCTTCAGCTATTTTTTTTGTCTTTTTTAAGAGTACTCAGAAACAATTATTGGGTCTTGCATTGCCCCCTTAGGCACAAATAAAGCTGCACATATTAGATGGTAAAACTGAGCAAACCTGCTTTTCCTTCTGACTGACTTCCAGTTTGCATTCCTGTTCAAACTTGTCCACCTTTTCTGCTTCTTCTTTTACTTTTGAGATACAATAATATCCATAGTTAACATTCTAGCTGAAATGTACTCCAAATTCAATATAACTTGCAGTTTAAGTTTGCTTGTAATTGTACAGCGGTACAATTTGTTTCCCAAGAGAAACTGTTGAGGCAATGTTTGATTGCCTCATAATAAAATATCTTTTTTTGCCAGCTTTCCACAGAATTAGTCCACTACTCCATGTTTGTTACAAGAAACTAACAGAAAAGAGCATGTGAAAATGGAACAGGAACATAGTAGCCTATACATAGAGAGCATATAGCTAAAGTTTCTGTAGCCATACATTAGTGCATTATTATTTAAATAAACTACATGAAATAAGTATTGATCTCTAGTCTGTACTTCACAGACAAAACTTGGACTTTGAGTGACTGTTTGAATAATAAAGTTCCAAATTTGGCCCAGTGGAACAGCAACAGAAGGGGCCAGGCAGTGAATACTGGCAGCATGAATAAAAGAGGGTCCTGGTGTCTCAGTGTGACCTGCTCACCATCCAAGCACTTCACGTCTGTCTGCCCTGACCCTGCATGTGTAATAAAAGCTATCAAGTACAAAATTGTTGAGCCAGCAGCATAAACACAATAAACAGAATTCTCACATTTGATGCTCTTTTCCAATCTGTCCTTCTCTGCTTGCATATGAAGCTTTTCAAATGCCACTGTCATTCTCTAAAAACAAAATTTAGTATTTGAAGTTCAATATTGGAAAACTCTGGAAGTTCTCCAGAGGCTGCTGCCATCCTCAGCCATTCCAAGAAATCACCAGGTAGGCAAAACAGAGTCCAAAAAGAAGACAAGACATTCTGTCAGTCACCCAGCACTAAGCACAGATCACACAGATCACATGGATCTACATCCTACACGCTACTGCATTTTCTCCATTGAATGTGCTTTATATAATACAAAAATGATTCTTGAGAAGGGACTGAAAACCTGACTTTCTGCATCACTCATGACATGATATGCACACATGATGGAAACAAATGGTATCTCAACATAAACATGTAACTCAGCCCAGCATATCCACATAACTCACATCCTTTTTACCAAGTGTCACTTACTTCTATGTCGCTATGAAGTTCCTCATACAATTGTCTTGTTTCATTTTTTTCCTGTTCATCTGTCAAAGCAAGAACATTCAGGAAGGTTTTTCTTTTGAAAAAGAATGCAAGCTGTCCAAGTCATTATGCTTAATCAGCATAATGAATTAAAAAAGGAATTATCAGCTCCTTTCTTATTAAATAAGTCATTATAAAACATGGTGCCAAAAGTTATAGAATCTAGGGAAAACATGGATTTCATTGAAACATTAAGCAAGCTCAGCTTCTAAATTTCCTTCCCAATGTAATTTTTTCTGTGAAAAGTGTAATTCTGGATCAATTTACGTAACCATATTAATTATTATAGTATTAATGTTGTTGAATAATTATGTATCAAAACTGTTAGTATTTGATAAACTGTAATGCAAGGTTTAGCACTGAATTTCTTCCTATCAGCAGATACCTATGACCACAGAACTATCACTATAAAATTGCAACAACACTCCATGTCCATATTTTCCTTCTTTCCTTTCACTTTTGTAATTGATACTATTTTTCCCTAAGCAAACAATTAAGGAGAGAACAGTAAGAAAAAAGAAAGATACTTTTTTGTATCAAAAAAGTACATCTATACACAAGTGTTTCTAGAATTAAGGCTAAAAAGAAATAGACACTTCTTAAGTATCCAGGATCAAGTTAGTAAAATTTTAATGACTATAATAACAATTCTAAATTGCATATAAAGTCATTACCAATCAAGAACATGTTTTAAAACCTCAAGAATTAAACTTCATTAAGTTATCCAACTGTCTTGGCTTGTTCAGTTTTGCAAGAAGTATTCTACTTACTCATTATACCTTGGTGTTAAGACCTTTTTTCCCCACAAATGTGTGAATGGCTTCAAACAGGAAATTCCAGCTCTGGAAATTTGTTAATGAGTGCTGGGAATTTGGAGTAGATTTGACTGACTAAAAACAGGCATGAAATGCCACTTCATACATCTTAATATATTCACAGTGTCTGGATGGGATTGAAAACCTTCAGTGGGCTGACCAGACTTGAGGAGACCTGCATGGCTCTGGAGTACCTGTCAGTGGTTAATCAGGGGTGTTGACACTGCCTCAAACCTGTATCAGTGTTTAGGCACCCAAATAGCTCCCAGGCTTGCAACCTTTCAGCAAACAATGACACTGGCTTCAAAAGCCCTCTGGATTTAGCATTACATACTGATACTGAAATATCTACTGAATAATGCTTCAGGCACTGTTTGGGAACAAATTTAAACAACCCAAATAAATTAGATATGCAGAGTTGATACTTAGCTGACCTCTTCATCTACTTCAGAGCAAAGTTTTACTTGCTGTGAAATTGTATCTGAAACATGAAGAGACATTGATCAATGTATTGCTAAAAAAAGTAACGGTGAAACTGCTAACAGTGTTAACAGATTTGAAACAGTGTTACAGATATGAAACTGTAAGACTACTCATGAAAATTAAAACTCAATATAAAAAAAAAAAAGTAAAGATTGTGCATGGCAAATATTTTAGTCTTACCTGAATCAGTGATTTCACCATGGTTCGACATATTGGATGGCAACTTAAAATCATCATCTGAGCATTTGTTAGAACCCTGCACAAATTTAAAAATTAGTTTCTTATGGGTAGGTTTGTAAAGAAGGATTATAAATCTAGGAAGAAAAACCTCTACAGATGATGTGAAAATAAATTTTTTCATTAATAAGGCAGCTGCCTACAACTTTCAAAGCCCAAGCTATTGGCAATGGCTTTGGAACTCGCTTGCTTCTTACTTCACAGTGGCTTATCAAATTGTTGGTCTTTTGCAGCTTCTTACTTCACAGTGGCTTATCAAATTGTTGGTCTTTTGCAATTTCCTTTATAGACTGTGGCCAAAAGGGAAGCTTTCAATGCAGGAAACTCAGCAGTTCCTGCCTGTCTGTGCACTTGTGCATGGTAAAGAACTCAAGAAGCCAAATTACTTTTTTGAAGACCAGTAGCTGGTATTTCTTTTTTGCTTTACTTCCAATGGCAGTTTTAAGCCATATCTGATTATGTTCCAGCATGAAAATACTCTTTTACAAGGTTTTTAAGTGACAGAAGTTTCTGCTGTCAGAATATCCCGTTTGAATCTCAACACATTTCTTAAGGAGCTTCGACATGAAAAAATAACTTAATTCCCATAACCCAGTGTGGGCACAGAACATTTTCGCTGCACACTTGATCTGGTGAGAGCAAGACATCAACGCCACTGCTCACATCCTTGTGGGGCACTGCTCGCTTTCTGTGCTGAATTACCCGTATCAAATGCGGACCTATCATCAGTGAAGTAGTTACAACACAGAGCAGATTCTCGAGAAGATGATTCCCTTCAGTTCAGATGGGAAATAACAGCAAAAGTCTTTGGAATTCGAACCCAAGGTGTTCCCCCGGCACCAGTCTAGGCATATGGACAGAAATTATTCCAGCGCAGGAGCCGTCCTGCCCGTGTGTGTGTGTGTGTGTGTGTGTGTGTGTGTGTGCGCTGCAGCTCGGGTCTCTGCCGGGGCACTCTCCGGGCACAGCTCTATCCCCATGTCCCCGGGGAAGGGCCCCTGCGCTTTCCCCCCGCCCGCTCCTCAGCCACGGCCTCAGGGCAGCACAGCCGCCCTTAGCGGCCCCGCGCTCACCTGGCCTCTGCCAGCAGACACCTGCCCAGCGCTGCGGTATGAACAAGTGAAACCGGTTTTCCTTCTCCATGGCCCTGATAAAGGGGCGGGCAGG